CCCCGGTTTTTCCATGAATGCGTTGTGGAATATGGCGACACACTACCCGTAACAGTTGTTCGTCTGATGTAAGAACAGTGATCAGAAAAGCATTTGAGGAATTAAAGGTAGATATCGAAGTTATTTGGTGCGAATTGGAGGACACTGGCGGGATTTCTGCTCCGAGATCTTTGTCGACCATAAAGTCGGCAGGTTCCTTAGATCAAAGTTACTTTGAAGGGAATGTCCCTCGGTCAGGAGCTCCCGGCATTATGTGCTTTCTCTCCATTCGAAAGAACATTTCAGCGGCAAACGCGAGGATTGGACCGTGCAGTACCATTTACATGCCACAAGGCAGGTTGACGAAAATATATGACCAACGCACCACGTGATTGAATAAATGCGCAGTATCTTGAAATTGAGGTGCAATTATCCTGGGGTAATCTGTTCGCGCGACAGTTCGGCACGATCATTCTAACTAGCCAACTTTATGGAAGGGTAATGGGAAATATAAAAAAATTCTCGTAGGGACCATAGATGCCAAAAATTAACTTGATCTTCTGGGGCAAAGAGCTCTACGAAATGTTTTACGTTCCGTAAAATTATTTGATACAGTGGACAGAAATGCCAGCTTGAAAAAACTGTTCGGAATTCTCCCGGACGGTTTCTGATTCTCCTTAGAATTCTGTGGGGTTTAAATAAAGTGTATGTACTATTATACTAAACTCCACCAATGACGTCTTATTAAGCGTTGGGTCCATCAGAATTGTTTCTTAATTTGTGTCTTGATATAAGTGTTTACTCCGACAACGCAACTGGAAATTCTGAACAGTTTGCCGAAGCTGCAACTAGGGAAACATCCGTGGATTACTGTACTAGCCAGATTGTTTCAAACGTTCTAAATCCATACATCGACCCCTTAAAAACGGAACTCTGTGAAGAGAATAAGTGAAAGAAATTGAGTTATCCTATTGGAGTTTGATTTCTTGCTCTAGCTGCTTCCATCAGTCGATTTCTGCAGCGAATAATCCCTGCAGGTAGCGTAGAGTATGACATGTTTGGATGTATAAACGTCAGCTTCACGTTACTGCACAGAGGAAGCGAATCCGCATTACAGACAGCCGAAATTGAAGAAGATCTCATCTTTCGTAAAGACACATTGTTCAAACAAATCCTCCATGCTGAATCGCTTTTCCTGCCACGGCAAAATACCTTTCTCGCCGTAACATTTGCCATGTATAATGAATTCAAATCTACTGAACTACAGTTCAGAACATTTTGAGCCCGATAAATGGGGAAAGCTTTGTGCAAAATTCACATACCGCCTGTTAGGTTGCTGAAAACTCTTCAATATCCCACGACCGGTTATGCACTACTTGAGACCCATCGGCTAGGTGTGCTCTCCAACATCAGCCTTACGTTCTGCTCAAAAGCAAGTGGGCGAGTTTTCGAAAAACATTCATTTTCACGTGGATTTGTTCCTGACAGAAACATACTATCATAAGCGACATAGCTGCATTTGGCCGAGTCCCCTTTCGAAACCCAGACATTAGTTTTGAGGGTTCATCCTTGCGAGTGCTGTCATTTTACAATAATGCCGGTGAAATTTATAGTCTTGGTAGCTTTCAGGTAGCATGAGCCTAGAGAGCTGGTTCTGAATGGCTGTTTGCTCCCGATGAACATCTGGAAGCGTTTGGTGTTCAGGAAACTCGTTTTTATCATAGTGAGTTTCTCTTGGTTAGTGCCCCCCTATAACGCGAATACTGTGCACACGACCGAGGTGACCAGATTAAACACTCCCGTGAGGTGCAATTTGGGTAAACATTAGGTGAGAACTCAAGGAGTCCTGGTTCGATTTTGTTAGGTAAGTCAGTGTGCAATTTATCTAGGTTGATCGGCTTGTGGAAACTCGATTGGAATGCCCGGTAGTCAAAAGAAGGTCCCACAACATGGCAGCAAAAAACAGCCTACCGTGACGGTCACAACCAATAACAGTCTTTGTTTTCACGCGGTGTGTCAGTTACCAAAGGTCAAACATAGGTACCCTTAAATTCCCTAAAAAATCGGTCTGTGACTTGAACACTGAAGTGTTTTGGTACTGCCCGTCCTAGAAGGGGGCAGTATCTAGGTTTTCTGGGCAGTTGACCGATTTTTCTTCATATTGGTCGATATCTACTCCAGGCGTGCGTATACTTCTAACTCATTAATAGCTTTCCCTCCTAATCCACACTCTCCCAAGGAAGCATTCAGGAAATATATTTGGCCATCCGTGTTAATGGGCCGCTTCTTGTCCCTATATGGTTTTGAGCAGGGGTGTAGAGATAGTAAGGTGGCACTGCCATAATTATGGAATCAGCTACACTCCATGCTGTCAAGATGTTGTTGAGAATTGTCTTTAGGACTCACAAAATCGATCAGCCAGTCGCTGCCTGTCAGAAAAGTTGTTTGAAGAACTGACGATGGCAGCCGAGATTTGGCTTTGGAGTCTCCAGTGCTATGGTTATAAAGATAATCGCTAAACCAGATGGTATCAATTTGAGTTACACTGGCGCTAACTTTTTGGAAAGTAGTGGGCCCAAAATGTCTTTCTGAAAGGGGAGGGTGCCAAAAACTTATGCAGTCAGCATCCTCCAGCGATCCAATTTTCCCGGTTTGTGATGCAGGACCAAATAAATTGAAATAGACGACCAGACAAAAATAGTCAGCTTCTAGTTATTTTTTGTAATTAATGTGGTTTGAACCTTATGCAATCACTCGTGCTGAAAGAATTGGCTCAGTCAGTGGGGCCACATACGTTGATGATTACCAAGGATGAGAAAAAGTTCTATATGTAGGGAGCTGAGGTGAGCAGCAAAAAATACACCACTACTTGCCAAGAACCGGGAAGTAGTGTGAATCTAATTGGAATTAACGGTCGCCGAATTATTGGTTGCTGGTAGTAATGAACGCGAACATCCATGAGGCAGCGTTAGAGTGAAAAGCGAAGTGGCGTAATAAGGCTCGTACAACAAAGATGGGTCTGGTGTTCCAACCTTTTTTGGTTACGTCAGACTCGTCTCTCCGTGATAATTGCTGAACAAAACGTAGGTTTCCTGAATCAGTTGCGTACGTCTAGTAGAAAAATAAAATTCAGTCTTCCGACCGTCGTCGTCTTTGTGGACCGTCTTATCTTTGACTAGTTGCCTACACTTGAACTATCATGGGCTCACTAAACCTGGCTAACTAGACGATTTTCTAAATCTCAGGGACAAATAGGAGCCGTATGAATGATTTTTTACATTAAGCAGCCTACAATCCGTGATTGCGGAAACGCAGGAGATGGGCAACCCTTGAAATGACAGATTTCCCTTTGATCCATCTAATGCCAAGCGATTCCGCACAATTCATTCAGAATGTACGGTTTGGGAGGTCACACCGGACTAAATGGATGCTAAAGCAAAGGAAAGCTACCTGAATTTACTTGGTTTTCAAGGAATTAGGCCACTTGTAGTGCTGGTAGAACCGCAAATCATTTTTCGGCGTTTCGAGCTTTTTTTAAAAAATGAGCTCTAGAAAGAGATGATGGTTAACTATTGTCCAAAATTTCACAATCAACTGCGGACGAACGATAAGTCGTGAAGGAAACTAATATCTCTACGCACAATCTGTGGGTTGCCGGGCGAGCAGGCATTTATACGCTTTAGTTCAGGATCAAAATTTGACTTCCTGAAACTATATCAGAGGGTGAATAATTGGTATGCTGTGTAGATTTTTAAATTGCTCATGGTTGCGATATGTAAGAGTACTGTTTGAAATTTAGGATAAACTATAGCTATTCCGTAGTCTGTGTAAATTTAATTAAGTGAGACCTCATTGTTAATTTAGTCAGTTTCATTGGACTGTCTGGAAAATACTGCGACTTCAGATAGAGAACTAATTAAAGATCGAAGGCATCTTGATCTAGAAACGTTCTTTTCTAATAGACTCAGTGGATTCCAGGGTAAAAGACCTCTTTCTGGAAAAATGTGTACATAACCCATACCAATATGTTCTGCGAGTTTAAGGAGTGTTCCTTTGGACTTAAACCATCGTGCCTTCAGGTGTTGGAAACCCTTGCTCAGTAACAGAAATCTGGCCAACAACTAACACAGCGACGGAACAGCTCAAGACAGTGTCCAGGTACATAAATGCTAATAGTCTATCCATCGGCGGATTGTACACATGTATCAGCATTAGTGGCTTCAGGAAACTGCTTGATTTGTGAAAGCGCATCGTTTGGTAGTGTATATATAGTGTAGTAATTATGTTGTTGGTCAACTGATATGTTGCTCGATCACTGTTATTCCAGCAAATGCTCTCAGGTGCGCTCACCTGATTCTGACAGGAGACAAACTAATTCACTTGAGCCTCTCATTTATAATGGTCCACATCAGCTTTCACTTTACTGATGTAGTCTACTAATCGCTCACAGATGATAGCACTCCTTTTTGATAGTTTCGGTGTCTGTGGCTCAGATATCGGAGTACGGTACGTCTCTAAAACATATGGAAAGCAAGCTGGTGAGTTCGTATCTTTTTGTTCAATGCACCGTCACCGTTCTGCACAAAATCACCATTATTAAACTTAGTGATAATTTTCAACAGGTGTCTGCAAATTTACTCACCTATTTTACTCCTTCGTATTCAGCTAGGATTTGCAGACAAATCCAGGAGCGATTCGGGTTCTTTTGAAAGCACCAGAATTATCAGAACTAGGCACAGCCTTCCAGTGTTCTAAATGTCATTTACAAGCAAAGCCACACTTAGTTGGTGAGCTAGAAATATCCGAGGGAAAACTCTGAGCATTTTTTAGAGGAATCCTTCTACCCGGGAGAAGTAACGCACCATAACTAATTACCAGGGAGCATTTTTTGCATACATTTGCTATTAGTATAGGACAGAAGGATCAAACCAGACAATATGTGCACCCACTTCAGTAAACTGAATGCTATCGCATTTCGTCTTGTTCACCCACATTTTTTCATAAATTAAGAGACAGATTGTTGCAGACTCAGACTGTATTCGAAAAAATCATTCACAGGAACAAAGGAAGTAAAAGATCCAGTTTGTTCGATTGGACAATGATTGGATGATGACACATCCAGATGACTTTCCGAACAATATCTAATGAGGCTCACAGTTAAGTGCTACCATTGGACCAGCCTCCTCTACGGTGAGTACAACCGTACAGTTCTTCAGTACCTGTAAGTAAAAAAGACATACTTTCCTATGACGTTCATAGCTGGATGTTCTTATTTGTTTCAGTGTTGGCGTTCAGCCTGCAACATCATTTCCAATCAAACCTCTGATTTTCCACATGTATCTCTGTTGCACATAATGTCGTGTAAAATGTGCTTACATATAAGTTGCTGAACAGCGTTGCATCGAACGCATTGACAGGTTTACTGATTTATGAACTGCACAAAACTGCTCATCGGTTACGCTAGCGTAACTAGACTGACGCCCGAGTCGCCTATCCGAATAGAAGAAAACTCATTCCAATTTTGCATCCCCTTACTACCCAAATCTGTCGTGAATGAGAAAGTCTCTCAGGGTTGTTGCCGTTCTGGAGAAGCATGCAATCCAAACTACCAGATTTGTATTCTATTATTTTCAGTGCTTACCCCGGTTTCCATTTCACAAACTTACATCTTCTGGCATCATGTGTTTGTTCTCTTATCCAGTAGTCCACAGAGTGCGTTTGTTGGTAACTCCAAAGTCAACTGTCCTCCTACAGCAAACGCATGTCCAGTTGTTTTGGGGAAACAAGCGCAAGTGTTAAAAAAACTAGCTTCTGAATTCGTAGCTTTTAGTTGAGAGATAGACTGCCTGTCAGATATGACGTTAACAGTGTAATTAAGGAGATCTACGATATATTTTCTTATGAGTGAATACTGTGGGTTACGCGGTCAACATAAAAACATATTCAAAGATTATCTGGAAACGTTGTCTTAGAAGACCGTGTAGTCATACACATTAGATCGACTATGAAGAAAACATGACTTGTTATCTGTAATGAGGTACCGAATCTACAAATCACAAGTGTGGATGGGCATGTATTTAAGCCAAACGTCCCAGAAACCTTGGAGACGGACACGTGCAGTCTAATCCATTTGGGCGTATCTTGAAGCAGAATTAAAGCAGAAGGAAGGATGGACACCCATCAGACAAAGGCAGATTTCGTAAGCACCGTTAGACAAATAGCATTAGTTTTTCGCCTCTTCCGCTTATCTATCTTTGTGCATCTCTCTGCACAGTGATCGCTTGGCCTATTTGTTGCATTTGGTAATAAGATAAAAACAAAAGCAACAAAGAGGACAGGCAAGCGTCTTTTCATAATTCGCAATAATGTCGCTAATTTCGACATGTTTTTTGCGGCGCATATTATAGACTGTTAATTGTATGCAATGTTTTGTATATTACTTCGTTTTGTCAGAGGCTTTCAAGCCCAATAAAATGGATACCATTCGCCAGAGGTAACTGTGCGTCCGGCGGAAAGATGACAGAAAGTGGAAAAAATACAACTATGATATATTGTGAATAAATCGTGGCAGATCTAATTGTAGCATTCATGGTAGGCATAATCGTCCGGTCTGGTTTGAAATTTCCTGCACCCGGAGTTACTAGTTTCCGAAGGTGGGCTTTCACATCCACATGAGTTGAGAGAAATTTGCAACCGCAAAAGAGGTATGTTGCAACCAAACCTTGTGATACGTATAACGTCGTAGAAACTGTAAGCCAGTAATAAACTAGCTAAAAGCAAGTTCACCAGTGCTTCATCATGTTAGAAAGTCGAAGATTAATTCAGAAGAATGTATGATAAACTTATGAGAAAATGCCAGATGGAAATTCATGAAAGGACAATGACCTATTCCAGAAGATAATCGTGGTTGTTTATGAGCGATCTTTTGCTCACTGTTCTCATCAGAATATGAGATCTAATGGTTTTATTATCTCCTGTGTATACTCAAACCGCTCAAAAGAAATTAAAGGACATATGTATCAAAACTCAGAGGACTAAGATGCTTCAAAATTTTCAGGTGATTGCAAAAACCTGAAGGAATAGAAAAATTTAGGACTGATTGTCGTTCTGGCAAGGTCAATCAAAGCAAATCCGGTGGTTCCCCATAACCTTGGACTTACGGCATCCCCAATCGTTAGAGGCAGCAAAACAAAGATAGAACAAATGATGACTCGGCTTTGCAGCCAAGAGCCCTGCGAAACAAGAGGGTGGCATGAGCAAATCGATCACAGTGCACTGCACAACGATCGAACTGGGTGACACATCACTTTCAAGTAAATCCACGGCAATCGCAAGGCCATCTGTACTTTTCACTGTGTGCACAACAATAACTAGTTACTGTAAATCCAATCTGAAAAGAACTAATAATCCACTGGAACTCAGTGTTTTGTTTCGTTGACGTCTACTATACTGGGTCTAAGACTGAAGTAGGGTTTCGGTTATGTACATGAGCAGGAGTCAGGCTAAATGCCCTTTGTAATCGCTTGGGTCCTTGAAGCACTGTACACACCGTGGTTTTTGGAAAGAGCCTTTGATTTTTTCCTATTAGGTAGGTTTCATTCGTCCACATCAAAGCGGCAAACAATGGATATGCGTTTTCCTCGTAGTGGAGCTAGTCAGCAACGCGCATCTGCCGTGTTTCGGGGACTGTCATATAATGCGGTAAATTCGGATATGAATAGAAGTAATAGGCCACTGACAGCAAGCAACGACCTGGCTTTTCACTACGACGTATCTATGCCCTACACACAGCAGCCACTAAATCTGAAATCACAACAAGAAATGTTCCTTTTGCGCCATCCAAGAAGCTTTGCTATACTAATTATGGTCTTATTTAATACAAAGTTCACCCAGATCCACGGACCCGTGAGGCTCATTATTGATGTCCAGCGTACTGTGAATCTTTGGGCTGTCGTATTCGACCTAGTCCCTCTCTTCAAGGGGTGTGGTCACGTTCAGGCACAATGCGTGTGCAGGATTCTTCGATGACACAGTATTGTGCAACAGCACACCACTTGGGAGAATGGTTCGTATTTGCTATAGATACTGTTTGCAAATGATATATATACATATACATATACGGGACAATTGTCCAATTTAGGTTCAAGTAGAACAGAAGTTTGACAGAAACTCGAGAACTGAGCCTTCCTGATTAGCCCCAAGAAGGGCAAAACCGGTCGTGGGATATCGAAGAGTTTCCTTTAAGAACAGCTGCTGCAATATCTCGAATATTGTACAAAGAAGAACATGAGGCGGCCTTTGTGCATCACATTCAGCTGAAGGACATCATAAAGGAGATTTCGCTGACTCTCCCGTGCAAACCAAACTATGTTTGATATTTAGCCTAAAAGTTCAACCGCACTAGGCACAACGATTTGGATCCCAAATAAAATGACTTAGAACTACTTTGCAACGTCTCAGTTTGGTCGACCCGTTGCGTTCATTCGAACGGACTGTTGCCCCCTTTCTGAGCCACATTTGCACCTCAAATTCTACCTGGTCGACTTGATAATTATATTGATTCCGCGTATCGATATGCGACAAACGGTACGTAGGACAAACAGGAAGGAAGCTCTCCACCATCAACAAACACATTGAAATTGATCCGATTTACCAGCCACTAAGAGCGAGAGAACGCCAGAACCACATAACTTAGAGCTGCAAAAGCGACCATATGAGGAACTCAAACAAGAAGCAAGAAAGCGTCATTCAAACGGACACATCAATTGGATTGGAGGAGGCGCCCAATCAAAGCACCAAATCAACCGGCGGACGCGGGGACACTAACCGCCACGGTGGAGGAAATCGGGCGGTACAAACAACCAATCAAACTCGATAACGGAAGACCACAACGCAATGCGAATCAGGGCCAGAGAGAACAAGCTACTAAAATTAGAAGCCGTTGGGATAACCAATCAACACAAAGGAACACAGACCACAACGCAACAAGGATCACAAACGGACCAATAGATTCACTAGACTCGTTACACTTCAGGTAGCCAATCACGTCAGAAGATAACAGATAGCCTTTGACTGCTATATAAACGCACGCGGGCAAGGAAGAAGTACCCACCCAACTGCGCACTGGTGATGTCTCCTCGTATGGTGACGAAACGTTTGCAAGCCAATTGCGAAGCTCGGCGAACAGATCAACAGCCATCTGATCAAAAACCGATATGCTCTTCGTTCCAAAAGCAGCTACTTCCCGGTTGATTCATCAAGCTGCTGATGCCTCCGAAAAAATCAGCGAAACTTGAGACGGTTTATGGTTGATACTCGAGTGGAAAGCAAAATTATCTGCACCTTTAGGGATTAGGCCAGCAGTCTTCTCAAACGGTGCTCACAATTCACCCTATCAAATAGTACACTGTTTCATCATATTCTTCAATCGTAGTGAAATATTTGCAGACCAAATTGTCGCCACGCTATTTGTCATGAGCCACACTCAAGTACGACAGATCTATATACCGCCACATCAAATCCGTTTACGTTTACACCTTTCTACCCCAAACGTTTTGTTGGCGTACCATTTCGTGCTAGGTGAATCTGTGAGCCTGGCACTCGAAGGATAGTTTGCCAGAATGAAACATTAATGTTATTTGCCTCAGAACACTAGTTGAAAACCAGATGGATCGATCCACCCGAACCACACAAGTCCTTTTTAATTTTCACAATCGCTATCGGGCGGTCAACAGGCTGGACGAAACTACGATAGTGTATACGATCTCGGAAACCAAGGTGATGTATGCAACTCAGGAGACAACCATTAAAGACCAGAAGTTGAAACTCAGTCGGTGAACCAAGAACATGTTTGTGGATGGGAAAATGTGTTGGTCGACTGGGAAGCGCACGCGCTTGGCCACTAGCTTGTCAGTCACTGTGGGTAGTTCCACACATTTAGTTCCCGATCGACTAGCATCCCTCAGCACTCTCAATTCGTTATGTTTCCGTGTTCTTGAATAATGTGTATGACGTAGTGTATATAATGTGCAAATTAACCTACACTACAACAGCGATCGAACACAAGCAGCTGGGCGCGTTCCTGCTTGTTTCACAAAGCGTTTCCTACATCTAAATAGTTCCGAAATAAACTGTTCCGCAATAAATCAGTTTCGCAGTGAATTGATCGGATGACAGACCATCCCGCTATGGTGAGATGACTTGTGATGTCTTGAGATGACTTGGCACTAAAGTGACCTCTGTTGGTTTAACCCCAACAAATTTGGCACCCTTCAGTAAACGATGTCTTTTTGTCCGTTTTTAAATAGCTCGTTTACCTGGCAGCATCTCTATCACACAACGGTCTTCTGCCCCGGCGAGCTTCCAGGACAGTACATATATTAGTGATGTCGGAATCTCGGTCTACCATAGTGCAGCAGAGCCAACTGTGCACATTTAAAGTGCGTTAGGTCTGTTTCCAGTCGTGAACGTCTCCATCGATGGTCTTAGGACGGAAATTATCACAAAGGGAATAAAAGGGGATAAAAGAAAACTTACTAACCTTTGGAGTTGTTTCATAACAAAGTGAGGCTCGAACGCCATCGAATTTGTAATCATCCACTCCCCGAATGCATGCCGTTTGTTCGAACGTTAGGGTAAACGTTATCCGAGGATACTTATCTCTCTGCATATGACGATTGACAGTTTTAGTGAAGCATTAAATCACTCACTTCAATCGTACCATCCTTTACATCCACCACGTTGTACAGATAGTTTGGTTCTTTGAGGTTCTCATGGAACAGTCTCCACGCTTCCTTCATTGCGTGGACAATCGTGCTTCTTTTATACTCTTCGGGCTCCAGGGCCCGCTTTTTCATTGGTTCTCTTATTGGGTTGCATCCCATTAACCTCAGTGTACGCTTCTCGCCGGCCCGAAATTGTTGTATGATTTCAGCGTCACACTTGACTTTGTCCTGTGGTAACATGAACATAGGGCGTATGAACATATTATTCATCTCTTTATTTTCAACTTAATTCAACTTACTATCAACCTGTATTCATCTTTTACAAACGTTCAGGTTAGTTTTCCATTGAAAAAAAAATTTCACGCGTCGTAATTCGCTGCCTGTTGAGTTCAGAATTTCTTAGCGGGTCCAGCTGAGTGAGTCGATCAACCAAAGGGCGGAAAATACAAACTTTCAAACCTACTGGAAGTATCCTGGTGCTTATTGTCTGCATGTTTTGAACTTGCCAAACGGTATATTATCATTCTGATGTCCGAACTTGAGAACATGCATCCTTACATATGACACTATCTGCCCGGGTCACAACATTCCACATTGTCCAATTACCGGCTTTAATTGCTCAGTGACAGACAGATGCAAGTTCATTTTGTGACTAGTGCGGCACTGATGGCTAGAAATCTTATGACTGTCCCTTCTAGTCATTTCTGGCTGTATCATACCGGCAAGACTACGCAGTGGGCAGAGTAACATGATCTTTTACAAGCCTTGCAGAAATTCGACCCCACACGTGATGGTAATCATTATCGCGGAATCGGTCAAGTAGGCCTAGTTTGAAGAGAACTACTATCAGGGGGGGGGGGTAATGTGAGGAAATAAACGCACTCGAACCTGAAGAACTGATGCTACGACAAGTGTGCACCGAAACGTAGGAATTGACGAGGTGGCTCTTTCGTACAAGCTAATGATCACCAGTCAGCCGGGTCACCTATTCCATACCTGGTCCTGGACGAAAGATATTTGCAGGAACGATTGTGCTTATTCAAAATCCAAACAGCGCCACAAACTGCTGTCATGTCGGAGAATAAATGTACGCTTGTATGCAACTTCCATCTGAAAAATCCTGGGTCATACCTGCTCCTAAATTCTATAGTAACGCTGCACTCCCCTGGTTCTGCAGGTGATGTGGGATATTCCCCAAATTCAAGGTTCTTCGCGAGTTATATTTGAAGATGCTATTGTATCCTCCGTCGAAACTTGTACTAAATTAATCCCTATTAGTCAGACGTTCTTTTTGAAAGGGACTTATTATTGAACTAGTTTAAAGGTCCGGATCTGCTAGCCAGAAATACACACTAAAGCACAATCAAGTAAAATCAGTTTATGAATTAGAGGAAACAAACGTTTGCGGTATTAACTAATGAAGCTTCATCAAGTATGGCGAACTGAACCACTTCCTTGTAGCGCCAGCTGGGTGGTCAGGATGTCAATGTGCGCGTGCCACGCCTTAGTCATTTTCAGACAGGATCGACCACCCAGTTTGGTTTTCAGTTGCTGTTTACATTCAGCAGATCCACTCACTTCCAGTCAGCACACAGGGGGATTTGGGGGCCAACGTGTAAGCACTGCGGTAAGTGCTGCAAATTCAAACCTGTTTGGAAGTCTACTACAGAATTCACCTAAATGAAACTGGCGTGATAATCGTGACCAACAGATTGGGCTGTGCCGATTGTTGACGCCTGCTTCCGTTGAAAATTTACCCCAATTTTCGCCGCCGACACGCGCATGCGTTTGCGTTGGTGATAATCTCAGTGAAAATCGGATCACGTCCTTCTTGTAATACGCCATCTGCGTTGTTTTCTAGACTGAAACAATATTCTTCCGGTCCACTGACTATAAAACATCAAATACTCTCAGCTGAGTATCTAATTCATGATACCATTGGAATAAATGAGCTGCACAAAGGCCAATTTGTCTCGGCATGCAAAATATTTGATATATCGCAGTATACTCAACGGAAACTCGGGGACTGCGCCTATCTGACAAGCACCAAGAAGACTATAACCGGTCATGGATTACCGAACAGTTTTTAGCAACCTTTTGAGTACTTTCCTCTACGGAGAAAACGGGCTTCGTGTGCTTCATTGGCAAGCCCAGCTGAATTTATTTTCATGTGTTAACACAGACCAATCATCGGTCAAGCAGCACCCATTTAATTCTGAACCCTGTGCCATCTAGATCACAGGAGTCTTAAATTACACTTTGGAAGCAAAGTGTGTTTATTTTCATGCGGTCAAGCAGCACCCATTTAATTCTGAAACCTGTGCCATCTAGATCACAGGGGTCTTAAATTACACTTTGGAAGCAAAGTGTTCTAGTTCCCTTGCCAGTATAGGCCTTTTTACCTCTGCCCGACGTTTACAGTCTGGCATCATTAGATCGGAGTAAACACTGACGCTTCTGGACCTCTATACATCCTGGATATTCGAATCCACGGAAGTCTGTTTATCGATCAGTAAGCTCATCGTGTGCCGGCAAAGAACTAGCGAATTCGGCAGACCAGCTACGTTGCCAACCATCTAGTCTTTATACCAACGGTGGCGTAGTGTTACGGCGTCTAACGAGGTCCACTTTTCGTGACACTTTCTGACATCTCGAAACAGTGGATTCGGTTTTGTAAGACATTTCGCAGATGATTTCAAGTGACTTACAAGAACATCTATGGTATGTCTCCGTATTGAACAGTTTCCTCTTCAGTGATCAAACCCTCCACATCAATATTGTTACGGACTATCATTATTATTGGGGCAAAATTACCAGCGAGCCAAAAGTGTTTTTCTTATCTTCGGAGTAGTTTGGTGAGAGGTCTTGTAATCAAAAGGCAGTACTGTAGCGAAAATGTTCGTTGAAGCACATCTTACCTGATATTTCCAGTCAAGGCAGGCCGGATCGTTGGAATTTGGTCGATGATAAATACAACCGGCTGGTTGTAATATGAGTGTGAGGCTAACTGTCCGATCCGTTTCATTCCGACGAATTTTTGCATTTTCATACGTATCCAGTGCATACCCGATCGGAACGCGCCAACGATACATGCCCACTAACTCTCGAATAGCATCGCGGAATTTGTCACTATCTGCTTCCTCCTCAGTGAGTGGGTGCGAATCTAGATCAGACTGCTCCAACAAATATTCGTGACAGTTTTGCAGTGAAACCTCGCCATCTTCCATCCATGGACGCTGCAAGACGGTGACTGAACAACTAACCCTTAGCTAAAAATGATAGTCACAAAATGCGTTTGCAGCATTTAAATATACCGATTAGAGTAGACAACAAGAAGGTAAATAAGTTGGATATGAAATATTTTACTGTGCTTTCCAGTATCAGTAGTGGAGTTTTCTCAATGTCCTATCCCTTCGTATACTTTCTAAAAAAAGGGGACCTCAGAGGTCACCGTTTCCGTGACCATTTGCAAAATAATAAGACGAAAACGGCCGTGGGCTTTGTAAGTGCTCTAATTGTGACCTAAGTTGATTAGCTGAAGGTAACAAGCACTAACGAATGTCTATTTTACTAGAGTGTGATGAATACAATAGACACAATAGTTATAATACGAAAAGTGGAATAGGCCAAAAAGTGACTTATCTTTCGAGGACATTTGTTGAGCGTTCCCGAGTGAAGCTTCGGACACGGGACGTTTCTTCTTTGCAGTATAGCTGCTACACGTGTTCCGTTGTTGGCCATAGGGGCTTGCGGAGCTCTGTTGACTTCCTATCCTGTGCGCGCGAGCGTGTGCGTTGAGCCTAGTTGTACGCCTATTTATGGTGTGCAGTGTGAAGAGAAGGGTGCCTCTTCGTGTTTGATGCTTGCACGAACACGAATACAACTTGACCTGATGTGTTGAAGTTCATAAGCCTAGCGTGTTACGCAAGCGGTAGCCGCGTCAATAAAAATGGATGAGAATCTGTAGAGCACACGTCGTCTAAGGTTGCAAGTGAGACGAGAATTGTCACGTGGTCTGCTTGTGATGCGTGATCTGATGAGTGATCTCTACGGCTTCCAAGGTGTTTCACTAACCTTATGTGCAATAGGTGACCTCAGAAGAGTGAGGCGACCTGGTGCATCACATTCATTTATAGGATAACGTCATCAGCGAAAGAGATTCAGATGGGATTTGGTTGCGTTTTCCGTGAAAACCGAACTACCTTGCAAGTGAGTGAAAGTCCATTTAACTCATATCGCGTAACTTGGGTTCAGGCGGAACGTGTATTAGAGAGAAACTTACCGAAGGCACCTACATGCTGAGCTCCAGAAAGAACAATACATTTCATGGGTTGTCGAAGCATGTTCAATATTGTGTTATGTATGTGAAAACATGTCAAATTTCGATCCTATTTTACATTCTCACACACTCCAATCTCCTAATATTTCTATTGTGTTCAAGAGCTACGTGAGCTCCAATCATAAGAATCAAAGCTAAACTATTTCTACTGTGCTGCTGAATCCGTCGGATTCCTTAATGAAACTCATGAACTGGTCGGCTGAAATGGTATACAACTTTCACTGTCTCGGAATGAAGAAGTGAAAACTGGCTTACCCGCATTATGACCCTAAAAGATCCGTCAGAATACAGTGGTTAACAACTTTGTTTGTAGGTCAGGGGCACAATGCGATCATCAAAGGTTACGACCAAACATTTGTTTCGGCAGATCCCAAGAGGTTGTGGAGATAAGAAAATCGTGCACATTAAAATATGCTAGAACATATATCTGCCGGTATTGTTGAATTGTAACATTCCTCTGAGCACCTAGTGAGGTCAAAACCTATCGAGTGCTTGCGCTGAGGCACGCAGTTTTTCCGGGTTTTTTCAGGTTTTCCTCCTTGCAAATGAGGCGAATTGCAGTGTTCGAAAAAGACAAAATTGATGGACAAAAAAAACAAAAAAGTGATGAGAACTCAGTAAACCTATTTCATAACTTTACTGGTACTTTTAAATTATTAGGGCGTTTGGTGATCCAAAGATGCTGGACGGCAGTCTTTAGGTTAGAAGCTAAACACGAATCAGCCTTTGCTTTTTGAGGTCTTTGTGGTTCTATGTGCGATTGCTCAAATTCTAGGTCGTTCGCTAATTGAGCAAATCAAAGTTATTTGGTCGAGAGCAATAAGGGTGTCGAAATACTTGTTAACACTAACGAGACTCAGCATTCATTCTGTGGTGAAAACTAACAATTACATGATTAGTGACCAACACATTTTAATAACATTTTCACTCAAGGCCTGTAAGCTTACGTCGATTGTTACAGTGCGTTTTCAACTAGCGGAACAGCTAAATAAGTCAAAACTTCAGTTGACTTGTGATGAAAGGACACAATGATAACAGTGGTTTTTGAAATTTATGCTAAGAAGCGACGCGCACGAACATTGTCCTACACAAATGAGATACTTTGTACGATATGTTTGCTGTCATCAAAAGCGACGGTTAGCTAAAAGGTGGTTCTTGAAATGTATGAGAAATTCCTTAGCAGGCAAAAAAACAAACTCATGCAGAATTCGTTACAATAGTCGGGCTTTAAATCGAACCCCTGATTAAAGCAAGTATGGAAAAATTGAGGCCATTAGACTCCTGTGAGTTCCTAATTGAGTACCTAATATTGTGGTCATGAATATGGAATGTGCAATAGAATTCATGGTGTAAAATCGAACTGAAAAGCATGTGATTTATCGAGCTTGGTGAGATGGTTTCATAAGGTATGATTCGGGGATGTTAGAATCACGGCTTTGGGTGTGAGATGTAAAAGTGAAATGGATTAAGAAAGCTGGCTGGGAATGGTTTTTGGGAACGGGTTTATTGTGTGTGGTGGACAGATTTGGAGTTTTTACCTGGTGAAATCAACTAAAACTGAATTTAGTTTGGTGATAGGGTCAATTTGGGGTGCACTAGTCCTTTTTGGTCTCCATGGCACAAAGGTTCGGGGGAAAACAAAAGACCATGGTGTACGAAAAGGCAATGGACATTGGGACAAGTTTGAACTACTAGTCTCCCAATCCGCTAGTGTTGACTCGTTAATGTTTGGCGCGCAAAGGTTTGTGCACAGGACAACCTGATATGACAGCGGCCCAAATTGAATTAAGGAACAAATTTCGAGCTAGTGGATATTCTGCTAGTCTGATTAGACGTCAATTGCGAAGAGTGTAGCGAAACCGGTAGCAGGAAATAGATTGAGATTGCTGTATTGCTATATAAACCAGGGACATCGGAGATCTTTCGAAGGATTCTAAACACTGCTGACATAAAATTAGCATTTCAGGGAGGGAGCCCTCTTCGCTATGCACTGGTACAATTGAAGGATCTCCTCCCGGGAACCAGAATCGTAGACTGTCTACAAAATCTGGTCAAACGACTGCACCAAGTTCTGCATAGGAAAGGCGGTCAGGAAACTTCACACCAGAATCGAGGAGCATAGGTAGAAAATAAAGAGGCCGTCGAGAAACGCAGATGAACATCGAGCACTACTGGAAGACTTATCAATTGCGGAACATATACTGGACATGGGACTCAAAATACGTTTAGAAAATGGCGGGGTTTTGGGACGAGAACTGCAATCCACATCACGGAGACTGATGGTCGAGCCGGTAGAAATTACCGAGCATCCCAGCAGTAACAGAATGGAAGACGTAGAACAACTAGCGTGTGGAGAACCGTTTTGGATCAGTCGCGCTGACACGTGGCGGTGTGCGGTTATGACAGGGTTATCGCGAAACCCACAAGCCCACTAAGCCAAACGAAATCTACCAATGGCACCCGCGATGAATCATCAGTTGAAGCACCCTGAGGTTGACGTTTTGTCTTCTCACTGTCTAAGGTCCACACCTGTGAAGCTAACAAATTATTAACGAAATACCACATTGTTAGTAAAACGACACCATGATAAATTCATTTGAGACTTACATAACGACGGTAAAATGAAAAGTAGGCATACATTTTTCGAGCCGGTATGGTAAAACAAACACTGACATCAAATCGCCATCATCCATTCACCTTTGCATACCAGAGAAATGTGCACGAACCTTGGATAGTTTTGGTTCACAATGCCGATCTCCATGGCTAAATTTACATCCAACTGGCTTGAGAACAATTTTGAACATTGTCAGTTTACCAGTATCTGTCTAGAACAGGAACGTTTGTACCTGTGCTCAAGTAGAACGTTTACCTTTTGTGTGATATTTTCGATTCGTTCCTTTCCAAAAATATAGAATTTTGTCATTTTCTCGTTGTAAATCCCAACTGCATTTGAGTACATTTCTTCCAAATCCGGGTCCTCCATTGCAGAGACACCTCTTACCAGGCTATGTACTCCAGCCTGGGACGAAACAGTGGTGCAATTAAGCAGTTCAACGGTCTCCTGTTCTTTCCAGTCTTTCCACCAATAGCTTGCTAGGCACTTGAAGAATTGCTGAGGTTAGGTTAACAGAGGGGTAATTGTAACAAACAGATTAGAATGCTAGATAGTTTGCAGTAGCTTTGAAATCTGGAAAAGAAAAAAGCATGTCACAACCGAATTAAGCTATCCGGATGTCGCAGAAGTAAAATTCTATTGAAAATTACCATGGGTAGCTCCAAATGTGGTAGAACCTTAGGACCGTATGACTCGAAACTTGGATCTCCTTAGTGTTCCTGCTCATAATTTGTGGGCAGCGCTGGCTGGGTTCTAGGTGAGGAAAATTGTCTCTCGTCGAATTTTGATCAAGGTTTTGAGGTCGGAAAAATGCCTTAAACCGATAATAAACGAGATCAAACAGACGGGAGTTAGTTTTCCGTGTGGTGGGTCAACCACTGACCCATCGCTACGCTCCACAACGCACTGATAATATCACCTAGAGTGGTGATGAAACATATGCAATCAAACTACCCAGCTCAGCAAACAAACGAACAACCATCTGTGATACCCGAGCTATTAACATTTTCCTCTGTAGCAAACGGATGAGAACTGATTCGTTGCTAGGCGACATTACTAAGGGTTTATAAAAACGCTCACTGAACTGGACATATCTTGAAAAGAAACCTCACGCTAAGTAAGTCTAGTGTCATATTTAAACCGTCAAGTATGTCGATGATCCCTGCTTACGTTGACATGCCTGGTGACCTAATAAATCTGGTTCCAGACTAAAACACAGGGCATGGATATTCTATGAGTTCCCTTCATTAACCAACAGGACTTCATCACTCCATCATCATCACCAATAGCTAGCAGGAACGCGAACGCAACTAGAAATGAGCCCTTGAGGATTTTTGGCCTATTCTTTCAACTCATTTACCTTGACAAGTGATGAACACAAATACGCACAGAACCTTAAAATCTACTGGGGCGATTAGCTTTTCCCGGTCTCTGGCGTTCCAGTTTAAAGTGCAAACTTCGAAACGTCGAGGGATGAACTCAACTAATTTACAAACTTCACTTTTCAGAAGAGTTCGGTGAGTCACTGCCTGGGCCAAAATGGATTGCAAAACGAATACGCTTTCATGTTAAATATGCTTTTAATGTAACAAAATTAACAGAAAATTTGTATAATCCTGATAAAAACGCAACGCCCTCCCGCAATTAAACATATGTTCATGGTCATCATTCCGCAAATTGAATACATTAATGGACCCGCTTCAGTTGTATCACATTTGACGTGTTCTGCACTGGTTTTTTGTTGCTCTAAGCAAGACAGTGTGATAACTATAAACAGAAAAATGTACACTATTTTCAAGGAATCCGTAAGGATCGATCTGTGCCCCTGCAGACTTGCATGCATTTCAAGGAAATATGTGGAATTTTTCGTGATTTCCTCGGTTTGATCGAGGAATCCCCATACCTGGATGATCAGTGTAACGCCAATTGCTGTGGATGTTCCTTCGCTTACTATCCAGTAAGGAGAATTGAGTTTTACAGGCTGTACATGTTATCATTGGTGTATGTCATTTCCTCGTATATGTGATTTCACACCATCTTTCGTGTTGGAAAAATGTAGCACATATATTTATAGCCTGCACTTTGGGTGTTGTGATCCACACGGTCACTTGTACTAGATTGCCGTCATCTCATGAAAGAAGGTACTGGATTGGGTGTTTAATCCTGATTGCTTCGTTTGGTTTAATCCCGCTGTTGTTATGTACAAAAGTAACATAAATGATGTCTCTGCAGCTGCTGTAGAACCGGTCACTCTAAAACGTACACGCACTTGGAAATCCAAGAACTTCAATGGAAGTGGAGAACCAAGTTTCTGTGTCCAGTTCTAATATAGTTCGGAAAATTTATTTCATATAGTTTGTTGCTACGTCAGATGTGACTGGTCTCTAATGAAAGCTCACCTTTTTCACTTCACATTTTCGTGCATCCTTGAATGAGCATTTCTGAGTCATCGAAGCAGGCTTCATATACAAATCAAAGGTTATGCGTTTACCGGGGACGAGGTACTCGATGACGTTTTCTATCGACACTATTTCATACGTCTGTCCAGGATTCTGTTGTTCTGCGAACAGTTGCACCAAACGCCAGGCAATCGACTCAAGGCAGTAGGCACTGGATCCATCTTGCTCATTTAGAGGATTGGTATTTTCGATGCTAGCTGACCATGTGTGTGAAATTGGTATGAGGTCACAGTCGCTGACATCGAGAGTTTCATGTAAATCATTCCAAGCACGCCTCCAGAACCGCGCTTGACAGCTAACCATGAACTGTAAAGTGTAACGGTTAAATTTAGAATATTTATGACCCTGTTTGTGCAGGACTTCTACGCACAGTGAAATTCCAGAAACCTGCGGTGGCTTAAATCATGAAGTTAACAGGGAACGGATAATACTCCTTGTATCAGGGCGAAATAATTTCTACTTTAGCACACTTTACCTTAGCACGTTTAATGGTTTAATGCAAAGTTGATTTTCTCTGTGTGCGTAGGCCTTAGAAACATTTGGGCCTGCTGCATACCAATACAGTCATGGTAACAGCGTCTCACGAACAGACTTAGATGACCATCGAATTGACTAACGTTAGTCGAGGAACGACGTATAAAAGTGCCTTCGGTGTTTTCGGTAAAAGAATCAATATCGGATTCGCAGTCCTATAAACCGGGTTTATTGATTCACTACACCATTATCCTGTTTTACAGGAATGCAGCAAATTTATCGGTCCACCCATGTTCTTCGTACAGATGATGGTACCTTATTTACAGTCCTAACACAGTTGCTTCCTTTTTGAGAAAGTACATCACTGCAAATTGCTTGGCGCCAATTGCTGCAAATAGAGGGATGGCACATAACATTATTACACTTCTTCCTTGGACACATCACGCTTCTGAGTTGCGCCTCACGCAAATGTTTCACTTTTGAGCTGGACTGTATGCTGGTAAATGCACCTATCTTGCAGCTCAAGAGATTTCTAAATTTTTAGGTTTGAATTTAAGGGGCAAAGGAGTACTTTACCACCAGACTGACAGGGTGGCAGCGGACAAAATTCTGCATCATATGTGTTCTACAACTGCGTCAGTCCATTAGCGGTAGAGTTGAGATTGAGAATTCACACTTGCTAACCCCAAGCTAGCGAACGTTGACAACCACTTTCCTTAACCGGACCTGCTGAGCAAAATGACCCAGCTCGTAACACGGCATCGGTAGTGCCGCTGGTTGTTAATTTTCTAGAACTAACAAGTATTTTGAAAACGATTGTCCTCAGGAACCTAGCTCATCAAACCAATGATTAGGTTTAGTATTTGCTCATTAGTTGTGCACGAAAAGCGCCAGAGTTTATATCCGTACAAGGGAATATTACGTATGCTTTTGTGGACTTTGGGGGCAGATCGAACTCACACCAGCTAGTTTAATGTTAGAGAACCAATACAACAGTTCCAGCATCAAAGATTCACTGCAGAATGTCATCTCTTATACATTTATCATTGAAAATACAGTTCTCTAACCTTTCGTGTCCGTTGCCTGGATAATACCTGATGATGTCAGGTATATATCAGATGATAAGAGGGACATGCTGTGATGTACAAAAGCGCACTCTTGAAGGGTAATGCAGAAAACAATTTTAGATCTAAAAACAAGTCGTACATTTTGGGCAGTGGAAGTATTCAGTGGAAACTCATCTGTTAATCCCGAAGTTTATGTTGCTCTCATCGATGTAGCTTCACTGTTTTGTCAAGTTGGAACTCTGGTCCCATCGCGGATGACGTCAGAGACCAAAAAACGTAAAAATTTGGAGACTAGGGCGAAATTTTTCTTATTCAGATTGCGTCAAAAACAGATCGCGTGCTCTATTATCAAGCGTTTTGTTGTTTTAAAGATGGTCCTTGAGCAAATCATCTTATATAAAGTATTTTTCAGAACTTTCTGGTCAAGATAATCAACGACTGTTTTGAGAGGGAACATCGATTTGACGGTTAGCTTACAATACACATGGGAAAGAAAAATATTTGTCCTTTTAAAAGGCTGAGAAAACCATCCTATTCTGCATTTGTGCACGTTGCCTGGGAGAGTGTGTAATGAAGTTAATAAAACGCAGCAAATAATACGTAATCAAAAGTAGAATACTTTCAATTCTGCTATCTCCTAATATTATGAGAGTTCTTAAGAACGACGAGTCACACTATATCAGCTGTCGGACGGCTTATTCGCGGCCAAGATTCCTGAGGTGGTCAAAATTCCCAATGAATCGCGTTTTCAGACCAGTATAAAGATTTAAGACGCACAATGCTTACTCACTTCTGGCTTTCTGTAGTTGCAATGCTCCCGAGATACGTATTCGGCAGTACCATTTGGCGATTTGATTATCAGACATTGTGCTGGAAGCATATGTAGCGTAAAGGTATACTGAATGCCGAACACGAGCTGAAATTTAAACAGTAGGTAATGCACGTCGGAGAGACAAATCCTGGTTACCTCAATCGATGGATTCTCAATTGCTATCAGATTGAACCAATATTCACTGTCGGTTTGATGATTGAAAAGAGAGACGGCGTTCTCCACTACTTGCCGAAACAGGGGTGTTGACCGTTCTCTTGAATTTTGCGGTCGGGGTAAGGCATAATTTCCAGCGTGTATATATTTGCAGTTATCCAGGTTGATTTCGGTTCTTTTGTTAAACCCCACGATATGCACTTTGCAGAGAGCCAAAGGCTTCAGGTTAAGAAAAATGATTCGAGAAAACGTTAAAAATGCACTAGTTGTTTCAAATCTAGCGGGATATCCCAGGGCAATTATGTAGGAGGATGAAACTGAATGAGGAAATAAAGCGTGTTATAAATAAGTGGTGTTCGAATTCTTCAAGTAAGTTCTTCAAGACGCATCGCAATATCCAAATATAGTCTGACCCCCAAGCATCAACTGCTATTTTATTGTTTGTAAATCTACGTAGCACTGTTAGCTGATAGATAGCATGTAATCGTAAAAGAGATATCAAAATTTTGTATCGGGTTAAATCTTTGTAATGTAATTATAAAAGTTCTAAATTTTCTTGATCATTTAAATTTTGTCATCAATAGGATCAGGTGTTGAGGCTGGAAAACGCCGTGTTCTAAGTTTTGCGACAATTTTCTGTCGTTTGTAAGGATGCATATTAGACATAGTCACGTCCCTCGCCCTTATTAAAAGAAATAAAATTTATTTGTTTTATACGATGTGAGAGTCATTTTGGCATTTACTTCTTTACCCACTTAAACATCATTTTCATTCAACCCTTACCTGGAATATACGACCAGTCTGTCATCAAATTAACGACTCATTGTACTGAACAGGAGTTTGGTGCCTCTTGACTCATATTTTGTTAGTTTGGGCAAAGCCAGACCTTGCATTCAAAAAACAAAACGCTACTTAGTTCACGCGCATCCTTATGAAAATTTGCACTACACTGCTCAGCGGAACGTGACATTTTTCTTATCTCAAAACCAGGTAACAAATTTCCGCTTAGTGACTTCCTTCTCACTGTGAAAGACAGAATAAAGCGGCCAGTTGTCATCAGTATTAAGAAACTATAAACAACCTGGTCATGGTCTCTAACCGGATAAACAAATGATCTATGAGCGCACAAACATGACCAGTTTTTGAGACATAGGGCTGAATTTCTCAACTAGAAAGCTAAGGGTGTATCAGGTAAATTTTTCCATGCAATAAACCCCATTTCTTGTGCGCGCTCATTCATTCATCAGTACACTCATCAACAGCACTTTTAAGTTCATCGTCATTAAGTGACGCTCAATCGGTATTACATCTTCTGCGTTTAGGTCGTTCTTGTTCGGTGATGCTTGGTCATGCAGTCTGTTCAACCTCGTCTCTTTCTCATCCACCTACACGGTGAGCAATTTAATTTGTGTGCCAGAACAAGAGTTATGGATGACTATCTCAGGCTTTTTTAAGCTTTGCCTGAAGCATATTACTATGGGGTCTAAGTTTATGCGTCATTTTGCACAAGATTCTAGGGTACCTGGGACGTCATTAAATGATCCGATCAGTAGATGTTCGTCGTTGAAAAAATAAAAGTTTGTTATGTGAGCAAAATAAAACACTCGCATAGTTCACAATCTGATGTTTGGTTGCATTCCATTAGTATTCCTGATATCAGTGATGAAAAGCTTGAAAATATCCAGCATTGGATGACTAGAAAGTTCCCTGTCGGAATGGCCATTTGATGAGTCACAAATTTGTGCTCAGATTTAACTGAATAAAGTGGATCAAACTGTGGTAAAATAATGAAAATAAAAGGAAGTAAACGCATCTCCTCTATGTAGCAAACGAATAAACATATTTTAAGTTATAAAGGGAAGTATGTTGAGTGCAACACCCCGGCTTCAGCCTCAAAAACGTGTATGAAGAACCTACTTGACCTAGGTAAATATTGTTACAACTGCGTGTATCACAAACCATGGCACATACAATGATTAGTACGTCAAAATGATTGATTCCGAACCCGGGTCGAGAGTCCACAGAAGTAAAGCAAAACAAAACTGTCAACCAGAATAGTTAAAATGAACCAAAAATCATTGAACAAGAGGGAGAAAGCTCCCTATACAATCAACCGAACCCATGTCGACCATAATCGCGTACTATATATTATCGACCATAAAACAACGAAAATGAAGTAAGTCGACGAATCAATTTAGAAAAATTTGAAGGTCTCTGCATGTGAAGATACAAAACGAAGTACGGAATTCATGGGGGGTATGTCACTAAAAATTTAACTGGACTGCATTTAACCTACGCAACCATGCTAACAAGAGTTCATCAATTTGACCGGCTTGTTCGAACAGAACGGATAGCGGAAAAATCGTAACAGCTGGTAGAATCAGCCATAGAACCAACTAATACGGGTAATTTGCTGCTCAACAGAGAGGTCAGCCACAAAGAGTACCCATATGCCACCCAATTAACGAATTCTGAGGACCATTCAAATGCCCGGTCATAGTCGGAAGTCATTTGTAGTTTAGCATAATCTATGTACACAACACAGTTCATCGCCTTCACACCGAATTTCCACGGTCATCGGGAAATTCGGTCACCAATTCCTGTCTCAGTGCATTCCACCTCACCTTCGTGTGAACAGTCCTCCACTTGCGCAGGTGGGGTTACAGTGGTGCCCCCACATGAAATAGCAGCAGTGAACTAGAATTATTCTATCATTAGATCTAGTCAGTATTGAATATTGTTGGCTGTAAAGCGAGTTGAAATCCTGACACCTGATATGCAGGACAAGTAGGTTGTCATTACTCCATCAGCAAAAGCTGGGCACAGATTTAAGTGTTCACGATTGAGCAGTGTCATTGGTTCGCCCGGCGGTCAGAACAACGAACCAGCAACTGTCTCGGTTGTGATGACTGCAGTATCGGTCCGTCAGAACTTCGCAGTCAGCTAGTATCACGGGCGGCTGAAACATTCCGGGCAGTTTTTGATTAGTTGTAGGTGGTTGCTGGGTTTGTGTAACTCACCGGTTCAGTCAAAAGCTTCACAAGTAATTTTCAGTGAGAATGTATAACGGAAGTGATGAAATTAGCCGAATCTTATCGCAACGTACCGACGCTACAGGGTCTGTTTGGCAAAGGTCATTTCGGTCCAATCGGAATGCCAACACATCTTCCCACTTTTGGCAGCTTGTCTGACTCAGAGTTAGAGTGAATTGGAGCTTGTTTGGATTTTCTTTCTGGGGTGATGTAATCAATAAGGAGTCAAAGACTGATGCTTACAGATCGGACGATTGCATCCACGAAATGACTTTGATAGAGTAAGTTTGCACCTGATTTCAAGTTGAAAGCCAACACAGCCTTTGAAATGAGATCTCGGAAATAAGTGCTTGCTTGAAGGTCGTCAGATGTGGAATGAACTTTTATTGTATCTGTCATTTTGGATAGTTTGCAGTCTTGAAGGTTGATCTGCGTGGAAGTGCTTGAAGGATTTTCGAGAACATTCGCGACGCAACTGGTTTTATGCTGTTGCATGAAGAACAAGAAATTAGGATACAGTGATATTTTGTGCAGCGTATCATCTAAAAAAAGTTAAAATTCGGCCACCTGCGACAAAAATTGTCTCTTGAATGAAAACAGTGAGATATACTGGTTACCATAGGAGGACAAAATGATGAATTTTGTCCTGTTGTTTTTCGCATAGTTGCTTAACCCATCAGTTAAATGGGATTCATCAGTCAGTATATGTCTCAGGGTTTTTTGCGCCTCACCGGAAAGATGGGCCAACCCTATCCCTTATGTTTCTCCACAATGCTAGAGTTCATATAACCATTGTTTTAGATATCACTTGGTTGGAGCTTCTTGGTAACAGGCAAGAATCAACTTTCCTAGCTTCAGGATTGTTGATTTGACTGGTAAAATCGTCTTACCAACAGTTAGCTATACTTCTGCCAGAAACGGTTTTGTGTTCGCTTTAATTTTCAGGGACGTGTCTGATATGACATTCAATCCTGGGTGAGCCAGATGCCTGGAACACCTCCTGCATGAACGCGTGAGGCTTACTTTAGACGTCAACCATTTATACATGTATTCAGGTTTACGTATTTTAAGAACCCCACAAGTGAGCAGAATTGTGGTCCATTTGCAGCCCGCGTTGTTGCGTCAAAGCTCAAATACTGGTATTGTTATATTGTATTGTATTTACATTTTGTGTTGTCATGATCCGGTGCTATGGTTTAAATAAATGACAAACATTTTTAGTGTTAGTAAAACCACACATCATGTTATTTAAACCGTATACCGGCTGGCCTTGTCAGATTGTAACGGTTCACCTGTAGGACTGTGGTGGACTTTAATGGAGGTTGCGTGGTAGGAATTACTTCCAGAATCACTCACAACATCATGAACAATGCTGCTTTCCTTTGGCTATAAGCTATTCTGATAGTCGCCCGCCGCACATATATCAGTTCAAACTTTTTGATATCAAGAGATCTTTTTAGGTAATGTGCTCACAGCTTGTGTTTAGACACTGAATATCTAACTGAAATAGACAAGAATGTCCCAAAAGTGACTCGTTTCACGAGCAAGTGCAAAAGATAGATACATTTCACCTACCCGACAGTCAAATCTAATAAAATCCGCTACATCTGTTATTTTTCTGTGTGAGTGCTACGCAATCTGACGGAAGCTTGGCGCTTGCATCTCCCTCCTGACTCATACAGTGACGGTTAAATTGGATTTACACCACTAACCATTCAGTAGTCAGAAAAAAATTCGGCAATTGTTCCGATGATCACAGGTCTAAAGTTAACGGTGCCAGTGATTTGTACACTCTGATCTAAGTGCTGGGAACGACTACGTGAACACAGGCCTCAGGATTCCCGCGTTTACCAGATATTGGTGGCTTACGGACTGCTTATGGCCAAAATTGTTGGATGGAAATGAAGTCAGAGAAGCACAACCAAATCACTAATTGCTGGGGAGCTCTGATAAGGTTAGAAACGCTAGTTCATTTTTCAGTCTTTTAGTGCAGATTAAGGAGGAATTGCTGGATTAAGAACAATGTGGGCTTAACTTCCAAAAATTCCACTACCACTGCCACTGAACCTCCCTCCTAAAATGCTCCGCCGTAAGAATAAGAATGTAGTACCATCTTCCCCTAAAGTAGAAAAGACGCATGAGGGTTATTGTCGGATATCCCCCTATTTTTTATTCGTTATAGCACAACTGCGTAATGTTAACCAAACTCCTGGTGCATTACCTGCCATACCTCATTCAACAAATGGTCCTCGAGAAGCTGGTATAAACCTTGAACCGTTTGAAGTGTGTTATGCGTGTTGTCCGCCTCTGTGACGTCATCTTTCATAGACAGAACGAAGGAGAAATGTGCCAAGTATCACTTAATCTAGGCAACGTTTTCCATATTGGGTTGTGACCTCAACTGGTATGGTTCCACAACACAGTTCAAAAGTTTTTTCGAAACTCACGGTGTTGTTCAGTCTTCCGCATAAATGAGGTATATTTTCAGCATGCCACTTGTTGTGTTTATTCTTCTGACATCTGGTCTGTTGCAGGTAGACTCGAAAAAAGCTCGAACCTGCCGAACCTGCGAGATCACCCTTTAAAAGTCGATTAAAATGCGATAGTTAGACTTACTTGCTCAACCGGTTCTTCTGTATCAAAAAGGCGATGATAATATGTGTCGTTTGAAATACTGTTAAACTGTTCCACTATATTTCTCAGCTTCGATTTGAATGTCAGCCTTTGTTGCTGCTCAACGCGAATCTTTTCATCACCCGCTCCTTGATTACTACTGTCCGAAAAAGGAGGTCTCGAAATACACCTGTGCATGTACATCTCATTTGGTTTTCTTTTCTGTTGCACGACAGCCACTTCACACTCGTAGCCCTGGACGCAAATAGATGACAATTTGGAATGCAATTTTTGTCCATTGCAAAGCATGCATTTATATTTGTCAATTTCTGAGTGATCAGCGTCATCTCCTGGTGGATATGATAAATTTTCACAACAAGCAATATTTGCGTAATCGCTCGAACTGCACTTGGAAGCTTGAATTATGAGTATTAATCCTCAAATGTTTCAGACCACGTCTTCAAGATGCCAGTTTTCACACCGCCTATTCACAAACCAAAGTTGTCATGGCCTCACCGGTATAGGAATATTCTATCCCTGTCAGTGTAATGTGTTACCCGCGTATAAGCTGTCGATAAGACAGGAAGGCATGCACGCACAAATGGTTATTCCAGCAGCGAAAGATTAAGTGTATTGTTGGGTCAGCAGCTTCTTATCCAGTCAAGTGCAAGAGTTTTATTATTTAATATTTATTTACCGTTTATCAGTTATTGTTATTGGTATTATCATTATCAAATATTGTTTACACTTTATTGTTTACAGCTCAGTGGCTGCATTCAACGCCAAATTGGTAGAACGATAAAGTTATTTTATGAACACATTTATCGTTTGTTCTTATCCAGTGACCATCCCTATTGTTAATGATATATGATTTAGTCTCTACGAAATCCGAGTATCTCGCTCATTTTTCCCATCATCCGAACCGGACGTTGCACTTTATACCGAATATCCGCAATTGTTCTTGCCGCAGGCTACACTGAATGGGCGACAAAAAGTCTCGATTTCTCCTCTGTTGTAATCCTTTTTGTAGCTGGGACATGTTAGCGCAGCTCGAGAGTAAGGATATTTTGGGATAGGAATTTAAACCAAAAAGATGGATTCGCAAGAGCCTTCTGTTTGAAGTTACAGGACGAATTTTAGACCCGAGAGCATAATCTCTCAATAAAAGGAAACGTACACGTAAATTCTCAGAAGAGAAGCACTTAAACTCAGTTTAGTAAATTTAAAGATAATTCACGTCATTTATAAAAATAAAAAACACAAAATTTGCCTGCCGGACACAGATCTCTGTAACAGAATTACATTGTGATCACTGTAGTGTTTGTGATGAAATCAGATCATGAACTTGTTGAAAAAAGAGAGTTGGGATTTTCCACCAGCCAACTGCATTTACTCCCCCTTTATCTTGCTGCAAGTACTTACCCTTTAAGTGTTGACAGTATCTTTTGTTTTTTTACAGGTGAGCTGTGGTAGCGGTTTGAATTGAGTATATTGATAACAACTGAGTTGCAACTGAGTTGTACCTACTCAGATGGGATGAAACAAATGACCCATTCTACTTGATACGTGGAATAAGCGAAGAGGCCTACAATGTCCAGTTTTAATAGTGTCCGTTACCCGCGCTCCAACTGGCTTCGAAAAATACGAGTGATCGTTTATTCCAACAGTGGCTCCAGATGACTGATGAACGATATTCATACCACCGTGTACTGCAACGCACAAATTCAGTATTGGTCGCCAGTACATTTGGGTTGCAGCTAGTTATTATACAGATTGTCAACCGCCTAAACTAGAGTTTAACTTGTAATAGTAAGGGTGTTATGAAAACTTCCCAGTTCGACCACTTTCGACTATGTTCTTAAGTACAACAAGCTTTCTTACTTACTGATTTCTTACTTATATTCGCCAATTGCTACGTTTAGGTAAAATTTACTACCAGCAGCCAATGCCAGTAAATTTATCCTAGTTAATCAGTTAGCAATTCAGTCATAAACAGTGATGATCGATGCAAAAGCTCTGTATACAGAAGATATGGAAATTAATGAAATGGCAGCCGCGCATATGTGAGCTGATAGAGCCGGAGCATGATTTGGGTAGAGTGTTGACCGTCAGGTAATTGTTCTGGGCAAAGTTACTAGCACCGTCCAGGAATTTTCGGATTCTGAAGCTGATCGCTTCACGTAGAAGGGTGTCTCTGCTACCTAAAATGCGCCAATCATCCTTATCCAGTAGATATAAAACAGCATCAAATTGTGTGAGTAACAAACATAAGAGAGCTGGTTTGGAGTACCAGTGGTATGGACGGTTGGAGAGTTAGTCACGTAAAACTCTCTCCAGACATTTTAGAGGCTAGTTGAAATAATACACAGTGGTTTCAATCGGTCGCTTCTCCCGTGACTGTATCAACTGCAAAAGACAAGGCCTGTGCTCATATGACCGCTTTAGCCTCTGAAGGCGTAGCTTGTCATCGCGAATTTCCTATGTCTTGTGAAAACAGGTTCAGACGTTGCAAATTATCCAGAAATGTTGTGCCGCAAATCCGTTTATTCTAAAGCCTCCGGTGTCATCCATCACCATCGTTTACCCCTTTGCTGCTTGTGGCTTATTAAAACTTCAGATGTTTGTGATAGAATCGGAGGAGTGTAAGTGCAACTAGCTGACTAGCATTTTGTATTCTCTTCAACCCATGTTGCGGCCACGGCAATATACACACGGGCCAAGGATAGTGTTAAGTGGTAAATTACAGAACAATTATCCCTTCATTAAGTAAGGAAAAATAACCACTTTTTCGAAATCCGATCTAAAGATTTGGGTAAAAATATTTCAACTTTGGCCTAAACATAACGAAAAAACTAGATATTGTTAGAGGATAAGAAACCACACTTTCAGGATCCTTAAACAACCTATCCATCCACTGAAAAAGTACCTTGTTTGATTAAAATAGCGCCTACAGTCGCACATTTCGTTTAGATATTACCTTTTTTGAAGTTGTCGTATTCTCTACTCAAATTAACCTGCCCAGAATTGGCACGATATAGCTGAAAACGAGAGGTACTAAATGTATAAAACACCACGGATCATTTCATGGAAAATTGTTTGTCCACAAATGCACATGCAGTATTTTAGGCTCATATATATATATAT